CACAGTTCATGTACTGTTGAGGCTTGGCTTGGAGAATTTTGAGCATTACTTTGCTAGCATGTGAGATGAGTGTAATTGTGTGGTAGTTTGAATATTCTTTGGCATTGTCTTTCCTTTTGGATTGGAATGAAAACTGACCTTTTCCAGTCCTGTGGCCACTGCTGAGTTTTCCAAATTTGCTGGCATATTGAGTACAGCACTTTCACAGCATCATCTTTCAGGATTTGAAATAGCTCAACTGGAATTCCAACACCTCCACTAGCTTTGTTCATAGTAATGCATCCGAAGGCCCACTTGACTTCACATTCTAGGATGTCTGGCTCTAGGTGGATGATCACACCATCGCGGTTATCTGGGTAATGAAGTTCTTTTTTGGATAGTTCTTCTATGTATTCTTGCCACCTATCCTTAATATCTTCTGCATCTATTAGGTCCACACCATTTCTGTCCTTCATTGTGCCCATCTTTGCATGAAATTTTTGCTTGGTATCTCTAATTTTCTTGAAGAGATCTCTAGTCTTTCTCATTTTATTGTTTTCCTCTAATTTTTTGCATTGATCTCTGAGGAAGGCTTTCTTATCTCTCCTTGCTATTCTTTCGACATCTGCATTCAAATGGGTATATCTTTCCATTGCTCCTTTGCCTTTAGTGTCTCTTCTTTTCTCAGCTATTTGTAAAGTCTCCTCAGACAACCACTTTGCCTTTTTGCATTTCTTTTTCTTGGGGGTGTCTTGATCACTGCCTCCTGTAACAGTGTCACGAACCTCCATCCATAGTTCTTCAGGCACTCTGTCTATCAGATCTAATTCCTTGAATCTATTTCTCACTTCCACTGTATAACAATAGGGATTTGATTTAAGTCATACCTGAATGGTCTAGTGGTTTCCCCTACTTTCTTCAATTTAAGTCTGAATTTGGCAATAAGGAGTTCATGATCTGAGCCACAATCAGCTCCCGGTCTTGCTTTTGCCAACTGTATAGAGCTTCTCCATCTTTGGCTGCAAAGAATATCTGATTTTGGTGTTGACCATTTGGTGATGTCCAGGTGTATGGTCTTCTCTTGTGTTGTTGGAAGAGGGTGTTTGCTATGACCAGTGCAGTCTCTTGGCAAAACTCTGTTAGCCTTTGAACTGCTTTGTTTTGTACTCCAAGACCAAATTTGCCTGTTACTCCAGGTATCTGTTGACTTTCTACATTTGCATTCTCGTCCCCTATAATAAAAAGGGTATCTTTTTTGGATGTTAGTTCTAGAAGGTCTTGTAGGTCTTCATAGAGCTGTTCAACTTCAGCAACTTCGGCTTCTTCAGCATTTCTGGTCAGGGCATAGACTTGGATTACTGTGATATCAAATGGTTTGCCTTGGAAATGAACAGAAATGCTTTTGTCATTTTTGAGATTGCATCCAAGTACTGTGTTTCAGACTCTTTTGTTGACTATGATGAATACTCCATTTCTTCTAAGGAATTCTTGCCCACAGTAGTAGATATAATGGTCATCTGAGTTAAATTCACCCATTCCAGTCCATTTTAGTTCACTGATTCTTAAATTGTCGATGTTCACTCTTGCCATCTCCTGTTTGACAACTTCCAATTTGCCTTGATTCATGGACCTAACATTCAAGCTTTCTATGCAATGTTGTTCTTACAGCATCGAACTTTACTTCCATCACCAGTCACGGCCACAACTGGGTGTTGTTTTTGCTTTGGCTCCATCTCTTCATTCTTTCTGGAGTTGTTTCTCCACTGATCTCCGGTAGCATATTGGGCCCCTACTGACCTGGGTAGTTCATCTTTCAGTGTCCTATCTTTTTGCCTTTTCATATAGCTCATGGGGTTCTCAAGGCAAGAATACTGAAGTGTTTTGCCATTCCCTTCTCCAGTGGACCACATATTGTCAGAACTCTCCACCATGATCCATCTGTCCATCCAGAAAGTATTAGAGAGCAAAAAGGAGTCTGATCTTTGACTGTCAGTGTGCCTTTATTTTCCCAGGTTTGTTTATTTATCCTAAATTATTCTTGTTCTAGAATAACTTCCCTCCCTCCCATTAAAGCTCTGAGTTATCTCACACTTCTTAATGATGTCTTTTCCATGTGGGGGAAAATACTTTAAAAGAAGTTTTCTAGAAAAATATTTTTTGTGCTACTTTCCTAAAAATATAACTTAATTTTACTCTCTCAGAGTTGATTCTAGAGTATGTATGCCACAAATAAACTGATTTAGCTAATAAGTATTGAAAGAAAATATTGTGTAGAATTTTAAAATAGGAAGTATTACAAATGCATGATATGCTGGATTTCATTACTAGTAATCATATAATATACCATACCAAGTACAATTCATAGACTTAGTTTTAAATTCAGTTCTAATAAGTAAGTGGATTTGAGCCTTTTGGAAGCAAAATTGAAGCACTAATCCAATCTTCACTGCCATAAAAATTAAGGCCAGTCTACTTCCTTGGTACTAATGATGAGGCTAAATAGTGTATACATTTTTATTTACATATTCAATAATATGATGCTCTGTTCAGTGAATGATGTTCTTCTGCCACTTGGTGGTGCTTGCCAGTTTCAGAATTTGTTCTTGGTGGCACTGTAGCACTAAGTACAAAGTAAGCTGAACAAAATCACAGCATTCCTACTGGAAAGGTTTTGCTCCAAACTGTTTAATAATTTAAAGAACCTCTGTGGAAGCAACTGCATTTGTTAACCAGTCACAACCAGCAATTTACTCCTTTGGAGTTTTAAGTTACTTTGGGAAAAATGTCTTAGGAACAGTACATATTATTAGAGAGCATGCCAAAAATTTACTTAGCAGAGAATTCAATAACAATTTCACTCGGCTAAGAGGTTCTGTAAAATCCTACATCTATAGCCAAGCACTCATACCCTAGCAGGTCCTGTTTCATTATCATAATTCCTGGGTAAACACTTTGAAGAACTTTGCCTTCAGTTTCAAGCATGACTTATTTTCATAAGCCTGATTAGTTACCACACCAGCCTTACTATGGAAAATGACATGTCCTCACTTTGAACTGGGGAGTTGTTCAATCTTAATCTACATTAGGCGTATGTCTCTGTTGCCCTCTCTGCCAAAAGAGTGCAGGGAAAAGACATCTCTGATTCCTTGTTTTTGTGATATCCGCTGACAGTTCTATCTAATGGGTATTCCGTTTCCTTAATTTTTAGTTGCACTGTCTAGAAGCCGATTTTCTGATGCCTCCAATGTCTGGTCAAATTGATTTGTTTTAATGGAGCCTTAGTCTGTAATGAGCGCGATGCCACCGACTAGAATCCTGGGATCTGCTGCTTAATTGCCAGGAGCAGACACACACAGATTCAGAAATCGTTGGAGGTGGACGGGGGGATGTGGAGAGGGATCTCGGGGCGGAGGCGGAGATGTAAGATAAAGGGATGGGTTTCACACAGGATAAAGGGGAAAAAAAAAGATTTCTTTGAGGCACTGAGGTGTTGCACGATCACATCTCTCAAAGGAGAAGTTAAAAAGCATGGAAGTGGGAGGAGGTTGGAGGTTAAAGTACTTAAAAGGATAGCTCGGGTACAATTTGTTTTTCCGGTGGTACTGCAAAGGACAGATAGCCCCTGTTTTCAAAGTGTATTGGTGCCTCTTTTAAGTGATTGAGAATGGACACTAATTGCCTGAGGCGCTGTCACGAAATGTTCTAAATTCAGGGGACACGAGAGACAGAAAGGTGAGGTTTAAAAGAAAAATAAAGGAGGAGATGAGGGTTCTTGAAAGAAAGAGAAGGAAAAACATAAAGAAGAGGAAGGGAGGAAGGCAGGGAAGAAGAAAGGGAGGGATGGAAGGAAGGAGCGGAGGAAGGGAAAGAGAAAGGAGGCTACGGGAAGAGAAGAGGAAAAAAAAATCCTGAATCACAGAACAGTCGCAGAATAGAAACACTGAACGATCACACAGAAAGCTCATTCAAATCAGTGTGCAACGGCGACCCGGGTCACGAGAGAAAAACGCTCCTCTGCATCCTTGTCCCGGGAAACTCCGGGTCCTCTTCGTTACTAGAGACTAAAATGCCGTTAGGCTAACCGCCTGAAGAATGCAGCAGACGGAAGGCGGGTCTCAGCACGCCGTGTGCCGGCGCTGGCTGGGGCCGGAGAATGAAAGGCGTAGAACCAGAGACTCGCAGAATGAGACCTCCTTGCCACCTCCAGGTTGCTGGAGAGCCAGTAAAGACCCGCGTAAAGCTCCGAGGACCACTACCCGCGCCGCCTAAGGCAGCCGCTCTTTTCAGACGCCGCAACCCGCGGATGCGCCTGGCAGTCCGCCGTGGCTGATGCAGAGAGCAGCCTTTCCTTCCTCCCTCTGACCGCTTGTCCCAACCCATCCTGACCTCCGAAACCCATTTGCCCGCACCTCCCAGGCAGCCACACAAACAGGCTACCGGCTGCAAAAGAGTGTGTGGTGGGGAGAGGGCTTTCAGACCCCCAGCTCCTCGGGTAGACTCGGGGTTTCAGGGAGCCAGGGAAGGGAGTAGAGAGAGAGAGAGCGGGGAGAGCCTGGCTGGCTGGTTGAGGCAGCTTGGCGAGCAGCCTTAGATTCGCAGGCTTCTGTGGGAACGGCTGCTGCTTCCAGGCCAGCCTGAGCTGTTCTCACACCACCGCCTCTCACCCTTTCCTGCTTCCTGCTACTCCCTAGAGAAACGTCCGTGGGCTCTCCGCTGCGATATTCCCAGCCTGTATCCCGTCGCAGCCAGGCGGCGCGCTCCCGTAAGCTGGAGCGCCGGGCGCCAGCAGGACGCCCTCTCCTCGGCGCCCGCTTTCCCCTCTCCTGTCTGCAGCGACCGCTCCTCGGCCACCTCCACCCTCGCCAGCTCCAGCTCCGAGAGACGCCACCCAGCCGCGGCGGGCGCTAGCAGCCCCGGGTCACGCACGGAAGAGGGGCGCTAGATCTGACCCAGCGCTCGGTAGGGGGCGTCCTGGGGCAGAGAGTGAAACAGCAGGTGGTATTTAAAGGTGTGGGAGTCGCCTGCCCTGCAGCCCGCAATTCTCGCTCGAGCCATCCCCGCCTTGCTCCACTCGGGCCAGCGCCTGGTGAGCTAGCCCATCTGTGGCATCCGCCGTCGTCTCCTCCTAGCACCTCCTCGCCGACCCCTCCCTCCCGGGACCTGCATCCCGCTCAGCCAATCAACGCCCGACTGCCAGTTGCCACGTGATCCCGGGCGGGCTAAGGACCTGCTGCTTCCCAAACGCCAGAGGGATGCGGGCAGCAGAGCGCGAGAGGCGGCTGCTAGGCTGCGGGGCGCTTTGACTCTCCCTCCACCCAGTTTCTCTGGGCTCCTCTCGTCTGCTCTCTGGACTCCGGTCTCCTCTTGCTGACCTGGCTTGCCAGAGCCCTCTGCTTATGGCAGCAGCTTCCCGCGTCCCCGGCGCAGCTTTTCCGTGGACGACCCTCTCGCTCCCGGGGCTGAGCCGGGTCACTGGATGTTGCTGAAACTCTGGAGATCATGCACGGGTTTGGCTGCTGCTTCCCCGTCAGGTGCCACTGCCGCCGCCGCCGCCTTTGCTGCCGCCGACCGCGGGATGCTCAGTAGCCCGCTGCCTGACCCCCGCGATCTTGCGTTCTCCCGAAGCCGTTTGCTGCTGCAGAGTTGCGCGAACTAGTCATGGTGCTGTGGGAATCCCCGCGGCAGTGCAGCAGCTGGACACTTTGCGAGGGCTTCTGCTGGCTGCTGCTGCTACCGGTGATGCTGCTCATCGTAGCCCGCCCGGTGAAGCTCGCAGCTTTCCCTACCTCCTTAAGTGACTGCCAAACGCCCACCGGCTGGAACTGCTCTGGTAAGTCCGAAACCCCAGCCCCCGACCTCTTAGCCCCGCAGAGGAAACGCGCTGTTTCCGGCACAGACCGACCTACCCAAGTGCGTCTCCCCAGCTCCTCTGCTCCAATGCTCCCAAACCTTTGAGACCACCAACCTCCACCCAGAGGAGAACTGTTCCAGGCCGCCAAGGAAAGGGGCGGGGGTCCTGAGGTGGCGGTGCACAGAAAGTGCACTTAAATTGGAGCTGCGGAGATTTCAAGCAATAGTAAACGAGGAGGTTTTGTGGATTCACTGAAAAGAGGACCAGTCCTTGAAGAAACACTAAATCAGAACCTTTTCTGTCGTTAGAGAAAGAAGTCTAGCTGAAACCAGAGAGAAATAACTTTATGAGCTAGAACGAGCGAGAAAGCAATAAATCAAACGGTGACTGCAGGGGAAACATTGATTGCTAGCAAAAGTACCATGAGAGTGCACTTGTCTGGCATTCAAGACCGGGTCACACATTCTAGAGGAGCTTGGATTTCCAAGATATTCAGTTTCTCTCAGCCCCTCTACCCCCTCCCCCACTCGCATATACATCTCCTTCTCTACTTGGCTGCAAAAGACGTTCTTTTTGCTTCACCGAGATGCCTCCCTCTTGCCTCTCCTAGCTCCTAAATGGTCGAAGGAAGTTGAGACAAGAATCTTTCGTCCGTCTCCCAGGCCGGGGTGGGTATGACCGAGGCCCGGCAGGCTCACGCCTAGGCGGGCGGAGGGCGGAACCGACCCGAGTGGGCGCCGGCTCCTCCATTTCTGGGCAGGCTTCCTTGGAGTGCATCAGGCGCTTTTCTTTCTTGCTTGGGTCCCTTCAGAGTCTGAATGCGAGAGCTTGGCAAGCTTGGTTCTGCTAAAGTCTCCTAATTAAATAGGGGCCGAGGATAGGAGTTGCTGCACTGTCTTCGCCTTTCAGCTTGACAGCCCATAACTACCGGAGCGATTGTGGTGTTTTGGGCATTTTAAACTCCATTAGCATGCCTGGGTATTGTCCCCTAGGTCTGGTCTGTTCTAGTTTTAGCCAGTGTGTATGTAATTTTTCATCTCCTGTATATATAATTCTGCCGAAGTTGAATCTAGCTCTGAATAAAGTGGCTTTTAGGGATGCATGCGAGCTGAAGTGTGTGTAACTTTGGAAAAGAGAGAATGACCAACTGTAACTCATGGGATAAAAGAATATGCCATGCTGGGTACTGACTGATGTAAATTCCACGAGGAAAATTATTATACATCATGTGGCTTGTGCTTTTTAAAGAAGAGTTGAAATTTGTAACCCTGTTAGATTTGGGTCAATATATTGCCTTTGTTCTGTTTTGGGGAATTTCTAAATTTGGCATTTTCATAAAGCTAAATGTGTTTTCTTTAACTTACTCATAGCTTATGCATGCATCTATGTTATTTTGGAAAGACTGAGTCCCACTTTGCAGGTACCTAATCACTTTTTAGGTGCTTTATCGTGGGAATATTAAGCAACCTGTCAAATCAATTATTTGAAATGTTGATAGATTTGTAACACAACATGACTAGTTTGCTTCATCCCTAACTATAGTACTGTTTTAGGAAATAACTAACTTAAATATGAAATTGAGGATGACAGTTAAGAAATTCATTATTACCAGATACCTAACAGGAATTTGGAGAAACTAAAGAAAATAAACTGGTTTTCCAGGCAGATTGTCAAGAACCTGGTATCCCCTCTACCCCTGATAACTTGGAGGTGATCAATCTTCGTTTGAGTCAGACAGACCATCAGAAAAATCACTGTGCCTGTTTATCTTTATTATTGGAGCTTTGTTTCCTCTTTGTCTGGAGAAATTCCAAATAAAGGGTTGTTGCAGATCTTAAAGCAAAAGAATGATTAAAAATGGAGGAATAATGAAAGGACATTCTGAGAACCATCGCCAACTGTTTTCTAAAATGTGAAGTTTGCGGGTCATAAACTATAGTCTACTTAAAGAGAAAAAATAATGAAACTACGAAGCAATGTTAAATATTCACTTACCACTACCAGTATTAACCCAAACTAAAATAAAATAGCATCATCATCAAAAAAAAAAAGAATATTCAAAGACAACTGACTAGAAAAGAATTGTGAAAGAGAAACTAGTATTAATCACTTAACTAGAATTTTTTTAGGTTATCAGTAAAGAATGACCTTGTAGTACAGCTGTGGTTGTTGGAATTAAAATTTAGGGCAATTCTCTTAAAGCTTTAAGATATTTCTTTTGTTATTGTTGTTGAAGTCTGTAACATTTAATGACTGGCATGTTCTCTTTAAATTTGAGGTTATGATGACAGAGAAAATGATCTCTTCCTCTGTGACACTAACACCTGTAAATTTGATGGGGAATGTTTAAGAATTGGAGACACTGTGACATGCGTCTGTCAGTTCAAGGTAAGAAATCTGATATTTGCATCTTCTAATTTACTAATGAGACTGCAAAACAGAGATCTTCTTTTACAGCCCATCACTTGGCAATTTATAGCTATGCAAGCTAAGAGGAAAGCTGGCATCAAACAAAAGTACTGGCAAGAGAGCCAACTGATGTCAAAAAGACACAGCTTTTTGGATATATGTGCCATATATATATATGTGCCATATATGTGCCATAGTTATAAATGCCACTGGGGGTAGAAAGCTTCGGATTGTCCTTTTGGTGTATCAACAGAAAAGTAGGTTTCTGTGTCCCTTCTAACATGCATACTGTAAGTCAACATAATAGCCAAAATTGTTGTTGGATTAGAAATGTGGATTTATACTTTTGTTCTGTTGATCAAAGCTATCTTCTTTGGATCATATTGCTCTGTTTTAATGGTATTGGATTTTATTATTTTGGCAATCTAGTTGAGTTTTTAAATGAACTCCTTATCAATGTGACTTCAAAACTACTGTGCTAGTTTGGAAATCATGACACTTAGTACTTGTCAACTTTTCATGGATACCACATTCAATTACAATTCCTAGGAATCCGAAAGAATGCAAATAAACAAAAATCATTTCATAAACCTGAGGAAAATGTGCTTTGCCTAATGTTAAAAGCATAAATAAAAATTAAAAGAGAGATTTCCCAGTGATGTTATCAAAACTGGATTACTAGTATTTTTTAAAAAGAGAGCTCAATGTCATTATTATAGTCGTCATCCAACAAATGCTTTCTACCATGTGAATGTTAAAACTTTTCTTTCAGTATGTTTTTTATAATTCAAGTATTATAGATGCTTACTGATATCTTAAAGTGTTATTGAATTACTTTTTTAAATACACATGAAATCTAAGATAAGTTTCAATCAGAAAATATTCCCATTAAGGAAACTATATACTGGAGATAACAAAAACTTTTCCAAGATTGTAAGCAAAACTTGAAAAAAAATCAAAAAGGATATAAAACAAATAAAATATTAGAACTCAGCTTCAAGTCTAAAATATGTCACAGTGCAATGGTTACTCAGTATCTACTCAGTATCCATAGGTCACTCAGTATCCACCACCACAAGTACCAAAATCCAAGGATGCTCAAGTCCCTTATATAAAATTATGTAGAATTTATATATAACCTATGCACATCCTTATGTACACTTTGTCATCTCTAGATTATTTATTATATAATATATAGGCAATCTAAACATTGTAAATACAAAGTAAATACAAATTAGTTGCTGGTAAGTGGCATATTCAAGTTTTGCTGTTTAGAACTCTCTGGAATTTTTTTTCTCGAATATTTTCAATCTGAAGTTGGTTGAATCTGTGGATGTAGAAGCCCCAGATTTGGAGGGCCAACTATATGTAGTATTTAGAATTGTTGATGAAATTAAAATATTTTAGATTAACATCACCTCCCAGTGATAGAGAGAAGGGAATTCACATTTACATATGGTTTGAATGGCTTATAAATAAGCTAAAAACTTCTCGGACATTATTTTTTTCTTTCCAAGAAAATTAATAAACAGCTGATACTTGTACAGTGCCCCACCACCTGGTAGGTACGTATTGCTGTGCCCATACATACTATAGTCTTTAAACCATACGAGAGTATTGGAAACATTCATGCATATTTAATATTCATGCATACCAATTTCTAAGGTCTCCAGCCATACTGAACAATTTAATTATGTTCTTTCAGTGAACTGCTTGAGAGAGATGGAGCATAAGAACCTGCAAGTCATACTTTCCCCAAGCGTTAACTGAGAGGAAAATAAGTTGGATAAGTTATTAATTAAAAGCCCACAGGATTTTGTCAGTTTTTTTCTTTTTAGTTTGTAATTCCCAGAAATATATCTTATTCTTGTAACCAAGGGTAGACATAAGATGTGAACCCATGAATGATATAAAATGAACCAAGAAGAATGTTCCTCAAATGGAAAGCCATAATTATAACAAGATTTCACCAAGAGGAAAAAAAAAAAGGAATTCATAAAATTAAAAATGGATGCATGCTACTAAGAGAAAATGTATAATTTTCTTTCTAGAGAAATTGCATTCAGTTTTCAGGTTGCACAAAGGGTTTTAGTAAAACTTTAATCAACAAAGATATTTGTTTTTTATGCATTTGGTTAGCCAGTTACATTTGTCATTAATTTAGATAATCGTTAAGTGGGATAGATTGCCAGGGACAGGGCTGGGGGAGTGAATGCAAGTTTGCATAAGAAACTAAAATGTAAATTTTCTTTTCCTAATGCCTGTAGCATTTTAAATTTACTACTAGATTATTGCTGCTACTAGTTTGTGCTTTGCAATAGCTGTCAGTCTGTCAGGTGAAAATAAACATTTCCCTAGTGGAAAATTTAGACTCTGCACGTACCAGGAATATAGAGTGGCTGAATTAAGTTCAAGATCAAAGAAAATGTACAAGTTGTGCAAAGAAAAATAGATAAGATATTTTAAGCTAGGAGTATCTTGACTCAGTGTTTCCAATACTTTCAAATGGATTTGAGAATTTTTTTCTATTTTGCTCAGTCTGATGAAAAGGCAGATGTCCTGAAAAATCCATTTTCCTATATACTGTTCTAAATCAGCTTAAGTCATCTACTCTCTTTCTCCTGATTTCATATACAAGTCCAAATTCTTCTATTCAAAATGGTGTGAAAACTATGGTTTCTGGCTGAGAGATAGACTTCAGAGTATTGGGTATATGTGTGTGTAATTGATGTTTTCCAGTTTGAATTACTATTGGAACATTAAGGTGAACAAATATTTATCTTCACCTCTCTTAGGTGATTTGTAATAATCATATTCTATGATTCAAACATGTTATCTCACTTATTTCTCATATCTGAGTGAGGTAATTATTTTCTCCTCCTTTTACAGATGAGGAGATTAAGGCTCATAAATATAAATAACTTACAACTAAGTGGTGATCCTACAGCAAGAATCTAGGTCCTTTGACACCAAATCTAATTTTTTCTAGGACATTATGTTGTTGTTGTTTAGTCACTGTGCATGAGATTTTCCAGGCAACAATCCTGGAGTGGGTTTCCATTTTCTTCTCAAGGGGATCTTCCTGACCCGGGGATCGAACCTCCGTCTCCTACATTGGCAGGCATATTCTTTAGTGCTGAGCCACTTGGGAAGCCCACATGCAAATAAAAACATTAATAATAACAACAAAAGCACCAATTTATTATACACAACTTGATATCAAAAATAGTGCAACTAATTCTTAGGTGATGATACAAGTTCCATAAATAGCCTGCAATTTCATGCACCTTACCTTGCTCTCTGCATACCAAATGGTATCCTGGTCATTCTGGTAAATAACCATGGGATGAAAATTTAGAGACAGTGGATGGACAAATGGCTGGCTAGCTGAATGAATGGATAAAAGAAGGAAGAGAGGAAGAAAAGAAGTCACAGATGCATCTATTCATAGATAGCACTGATCATATCAATTAATATGTAATGGTCAATGATCACTTTATAATTTAAAAATATGGTGAAGCCTTATGTTTTACAAATATCATTTAATTTGATTGTTTTCACTGAATAAGCCACGCTCTAGATCTACAATAGTTCCAGTAACTAGAATTGTAGAACAAATTGCCCAGAACTTAGTGGCTCAAAACAATGAACATTTATTTTGCTCATGAATCTGCAGTTGAACAGGGCTTAATGGAAGCGTCTTATCTCTGCTTCTCTTGGCATTAGCTGAGTTCGGGGAGGGAACTCAGAGGCTTGGTTCTGTACTGTCTCAGGATTCACTCATATACTGGACTGTCAACTGGGGACTTTGGTCCTTCTCCATGTAGATCTCTCTGTTTGGACTAGTTTGGGCTTCCTCATAGCACAGTGGCTGGGTTTAAAGGGCAAGCGAGCATCCAGAGAGTGAGAGAAAGATAAAGGCAGAGGCTACATCCTTTAATGACCTAGCGTCAGAAGTCATATGAGTCACCATAATCACAGGCCTGCCCACTCATTTAAAATCATAAAAAATTTCCATGTGGAAAAATGTAGTCACAGAGAAGTAAAAGTTACCTATGGAATGATCAAAGGATTGGGATATATGCAGGTTTTTTTTATCTCTTGCTTTTTTGGAAGAGAAACACACCATATCCTAAACCATTATCCCTAAGCCTTTGACAAGTGGGAATATAACAGAATTCACTTAACATCTGTGGAGCACCTTCTACATGCCAGACTGGGGAAGGTGCCGACAACATATAAAATATAAGTTATACATAGCTCCTAGATGCTGAAATCTCAGTTAAAAGAAATTCTTATTAATCAAACAAGCAATAAATCATATGAAAAACTTCTCACATGAATTTTTTCTTCATTTGTAGCAAAACAAATTCCATATATTCTAGAGCATCCAGTCATTGAATTCACTGGTGTAACATGTTGCTGCTTTCTTAAGCAATGTGGAAATTTTGGAACAAAATCATTCACTGAAAAACACAAAGTTGGAAAATAAACTTAAGATTTTTAAAACATCTGAAGGAAAGCAGAATCACTTTTCCCCTGAGAGGAAGTTTGGACAACACATACATTTATGAGCTTAACCATCTGGGCTTGAGTCTTGTTTTTCTTTCTTACCAGCCAACAGTGTGGCCTTTAGCAAGTCACCTAACATCTGAATCTGTCCCTTCCTCTGAAACTGAGCAATATTCGTGGTTGCCACTTAAAAAAAATAATAATTATTTTCAAAATTAGGCATATTTTAATGCAGTAGTAAGCTCATTTTTATACTTAGGGATAGCCTGTTTTCCTTTATTTTTCCAGTTTTAGACATGCATGCCTTGGTGTCCATGTTAGATGGTAACTCTGCTAGTTAAAGTATATAGCATGGAAGGCAAATAATTTACATTTCTTTTTATAAATGAATATTCCAAAGCATTTTGAAACATGACTCAGTTAATCCTCCCAAATGCCCCAGTTAACCATTTCAAATGGGGGAACTGAGCTATAAACTTGTTAAATATTTTATTGCTGAGTGATATACACAAGGTCCTACACTCAGAAATGGGAGAACATGGGACGAGACTTCCACTCCTAAGCCTTAGTGATTTAGAGTATACTTCCTCCGTGTGTTATTCATTTTAATGAGTGCAAGTCATGGTACTGAGGGCCAAAAACAGCGTGCTGATAATCTGCAGTTAAGCTCTTTTCAACTCCATACAAATCTCCCTTTTGGCTTGTGCATGGAGCTTGGCAGCTCCATTTTTAGCACTGTTCACATTTGGCTTACTCCATCCCTCAGAAGTGGCATATGAGCACTTTATCAGTTTATTTCGTATTTTAAGATGCATATAGCATTGTATACTAGCACTTGACAGAGGTAATAAATACTTCCTACCCCTCACTCCCCATCTACTGACTATATCTGAATAATCTACAGAGGTAGATGAAAAGCATAAATAGAGAAATTCTAGGGATTACAAAGAAGAAAATGTGGATCCAGATCATCTACACCCAAAATATTGTAACCAGGGTTGAAGATGAGGATTTAAAGGTAACCCAGAACAAGAATGCTAGGACCCAAGAGTGAGGAGCTAGCTAGCCCAGCCATTTGCAGTGATGTGACTGTCATCAGCCTCCTGAAAGGGTCAGCAAGTCTGCTGACTGTGTTACCAGCTGTTCACGTCTTTCTGGTCTGTCTTCCGTGTTCTCGGTAGCCGGTCCTCGTAAATCCTCCCTACATTGTCCTGTCCCTGATCCTGAACACAGCCCATGTATCAGACACTCGTCCATCCACCTGCCTCCCTGGCCACAGTTCTGACATCAGCACCACTCACATTGATTTGATGTCTCTGCAGTACTGTTTATTGGAAAACTTAACTCTTTACTGACATTTTTTTATTGTCTTTTTTTTTTTTCAATAGTGATAAAAATGTTCAGTTTTATGGTGGGTCAATTTTCAGGTATATGTATGTTTGGAAAGTGAGTTGCCTATTGAATTAAAGATCCTCATGAGTGAAAAGTTCCTATCAAAATAGTTTTCAAATATAATAATGTAGATAGCCTGAGTCCATGAGCCATATAATGTAACTATGGAAAGGAATAGAAACTTCCAAAATGAATAGACTAGAAACTAGAAATAAAGATTTTCAAAATATGTCATATTTAAAATGTTTCAATCTAATCATATTTAAATAATTTCTAAATAGATATAATTTGGTATCTAAATTACCTTGTTAGCAGTTATGGTGATTATGAGTGTCATACAATTTGAATTTACTATTTGGAAAATACTATGTAACTATTAATGAAAAATTATATTTAAGTTTTTCAATAACAGATGCAAAGTCAGACTCAAAAAACTTTCGTTTCAGAGAACATTGTGTTATATCATTTAAAAAAATCATTTGAATCTATTATTTCATAAAGGCAAAGGGTAAGAGCTATGGTTGATTGGGAAAGGAAGTACAGATATGTTAAGAAAATAGAGTGAGAAAATGAACCTCAGGTTTATCATCAGGTTATAACTGTGTTTAAAATTTGCTTTTTTGCATAAAAATCCTTGAGTTGAATTTAACTTTTGAGAGATTTTTGGAAATATTATTATAAAAATTAAAACACTAGCTATCTTGCTAAATCATTGGTTTGCTTTATATGTTATGAATTAGCAGATCAAAAATCCAAGTATTTTAATAAGAAGTAGAAAACAGAGAAGCATTTTCACATGCATGTATATGCATGATTTCCCTTACTGTACTTAATTTCTGGCATGGGTATTTATAAATAATTGTTTTGATCATTACATTTGTTATAATTAAACAATGTAGCCCATCAGTAGTAGTAATCATGAGATAATCATATTGCTGGTGTAATTAGCAGGTATAGAACACAGCCAAGTATCTCTAAGGCCTTACAGTGTGATTATGCTGTAATGAGTATACCCTGTAGGTTGCCTGATTACCGTTATAAAATGTGTACATTTTTGGAAGGAAGTTGTTTTAAAATGAACTTTTCACTTTATGAAATATACATTAATTCTCATACTTTTGAACAGTCAATCAAGTTAACATATGGTTCAGTAGTTGACTTTTTTTCTGTATTACATAGTCTGTTGTTTCTACACTGTATCTCTGTCAATATCCAATGATACAAAGATATATGAACCTTTAATTAGTAACTCAGATGTCTTATCCAAATATTTAGGAATTTGTAAAGATTCAAATTCAACAGAGGAACAACATACTAAAGAGTAACTGAGTTCTTTGGCATTTCAACTATATACTTCTGCTCCAACAACAGATAGACACTATTTTTGAATATCTAGAATGTCATAACGTGTTCTTATTTTTTCCACCAAGCCAGATGGGCCATATATCAGAAAAAAAAAGTTAATAATATTGATACTTTTGTTGTTATATCTTTGTATTATTTCTTATCCTATCACTTTCTTGGGTTTTCCTGATTTAAAAGCTGATTTCCCCCCATCTGAATCAGATGACCAGTTGACTCACTGGACATTGCTTTTGTATATCTTTGAATGATATTCTTACAAGGTCAAAGACTTGCTGGATACAATGGGGATCACTGAAAATGAAGACAAGTGCTCTCTTTTGTAAACGATGATTTCTGTTCAAGATGTCAGAGGCATGTAGACTCCAGTACTAACCACAGGCTTACATCTGTGTTCTCCCCAGTGCAACAATGACTATGTGCCTGTGTGTGGTTCCAATGGGGAGAGCTATCAGAATGAGTGTTATCTGCGGCAGGCCGCGTGCAAACAGCAGAGTGAGATACTGGTGGTGTCTGAAGGATCGTGCGCCACAGGTTTGTATGTCATCCTGATGACTCCCGAAAACCTTTGGAATGGATACTGAATCCAAAAACCATGTCTTTTCCTATTATGTCCTGTTTATTATTATCCAGATAAATAATTTGACTATATATTGGCTAGACAAGCCTCTTATACTTTTGTACCAAACATGCATTATTCCTATTCTATGTCTCTTTACATTTCAAGTTATTTCTGGAAGAAAGATAAATCTACCAGAAGGATGTTGGTAGATTTTAATACCTATATTATTTAATGAAGTACAGACAGTTGAATAACAATTAAAAATCTAGATTGACTGCTCAGCTGCCAAATATATATAAAGTAATCTATGCAGGAATAAATTGTGTTTGTTTGATTGTTTGTAACAATAGGATTGTTTTCTGGAGGACAGGCAGATTGCAGATTTGGATTTGAAGGTTAAAATGTACCTAATCTTAGCAGCTCTACAAAATTCTGTAGAGCAGCATTACATTGAACAGATTACACTGAAGAATATATTGGGGACAAACATGACTTCTAAAGACATCTGTCCTTTCTAGAACCACTAGTGAGCCTGGGATCCCACTAAACTTTTTAGTTATACTGTACCAAGAATGCTGTAAAGAAAGGAAGGACAAAGAGCACCTTCATGTGCTCTTTAGTTTTTCAGGTCTTCCTTCTGCTTACAATGGTTATTAGAGCTGAATAAAAACAAGAAGAGAAAAAACAAGAATAAAGCCCAACTTGATAAACCAGTGCTATAAAATGAAGCTGAATTTTCAGGTTAGGCCTGACATTAAAATCACATATATTAAAGAAACTTTAGTATCCCTTGAAATTTGTTCCTAATGGCAAATAAGCATCTTTCTGTGAGTCATAATTTCAGAGGAATTTGATGATATAACATATTTAAGAAAAATAATAATGCTATATTATTATTATCATTAAAGTGATATATCATTTTTTCTTCAAAAAAAATAGAATAATGTCAAGAAAGGTCTGTTTTATTGAAAATCCCCTTAGATAACACTATGGAATTATATTAAAGATCATGTGTGTGATGGCTGGAGCAGAGTGGCAAATGAGCAGAGACAGTCTCATATTCTTTAAAACAGATTACCTTAGACCTATTGATTGTTAGTAGTTGATAATATTGTTCCAATTTGCACTGGTAATTACCAAAGTTTCTAAGAATTAGCAGAAGAGAAAGGTATCTTTCCTCATGAACAATGACGTAGGCTCTTTGGTTCTGGTTTTTAAGTAGCTTTTCTCCTATTTGATTCTTTGTCTGACAATGTGGATGTCCTTCCTGCAAGGATGATTGGGAGGCAAGTTGGACTGGTGCACCATTTTCTTGTTTGCTGGAGCTAATAGATCATTGCCACTTGGACCATCTTTCTCAGTAAGAAAAGAGGAGGGCCAGCATGCTAGTCTTATAGTAAGCATGGGGAAAATAGAAAGACAAGGAGCAAACTAATTATAAAAAATCAATCCATCATAGCTACTGAAAAATGACACTTTAGGACAAATGGAATAGGAAAAAAAGGAACCTCTGACTCTCAGAACCAGGAATGATGTAGGCAAATACTAGAGTACTAAGGAATGGATTTACTCATTCAAAATCATATAGGATATCTGTCTGTCTCTGACAATAGGCAATGAAGATCACTGGGTAGTCATAATATGCAGTCATGGAGTTATGATTTGATTAACAGTGTTGGATAGCAAAATCTCTGTTTGCTTACTTGCCAACCTCCAAGTTTTTATCAGAACATGCAATCACATTCTTTTGATTCATTCAGTTATTCAGTTCTAGTCCCTAATTTATTGGTTATACTATGAAAATACTTAACCACATTTAATCACAATTGAGTAACCTGTCCCTAGCTTATTCACAGACTTAAATTTCTACAGGATTTAATTAGTAAGTTGGTCTTGCTGAATCATCTTCCATTGACTTGTAAATCTAAAAGAGTTTTGATCTGAATAATGATGGAAGGACTAAAGTAATTTTGATTAACCAGGTCTGACTAAATAAATTGCAGTTCTGACTTTTGATCTAAAAGAGATTCTTATTTTCTTCATAGATTTTGCATTTTTTAATGCTGTTTGACATTGAATGGAGATGGCAAGTTGTGATTTCTAAGAATAAAAGGCAGTAGAAGATTTATATTGATACTAAAATATAAAAATACAAACTTAAAACTTGTATTAAAAATAACATTATATTTATTACATTACATTGAATCTACAAATCATTTTTTGTCTGGAAAATGGTTTCCTATTGAGCAGTCTGCTCAGTAGCCTCACTGTCATTTTCCCTTTTTTGCCTTATAAGAAATGTTTTGACTAAGAGTCTAGATTCAGGTCCAATAACATGGCTTCTTTTCTTAGGTTTCCCTTTCATTAATAAGGCTTTATTAGGCTACTTGTCTCTGATTTGCCAAGATGACTCATTTTGTAGCAAAGAACCATTAAAGCTCCCCATCATGATTTTATGATGAAGTCTTGACTTGTTCACTTGCTGAGTCGTGTCTGATTCCTTGTGACCCCATGGACTGCAGCACTCCGGGCTTCCCTGTCCTTCACTATCTCCCAGAGTCTGCTCAGACTCAGAGTCCATTGAGTCAGTGATGCCATCGAACCATGTCATCCTCTGTCAATCCCCTTCTCTTCCTTGCCCTCAATCTTTCCCAGCATTAGAGTCTTTTCCACTGAGTCAACCCTTCACATCAGGTAGCCAAAGTACTGGAGTTTGAGCTTTAGCATCAGTCCTTCCAATGAATATTCAGGACTGATTTCCTTTAGGATTGACTGGTTGGATCTTCTTGCTATCCACGTGACTCTCAAGAGTCCTCTCCAGCATCACAGTTTGAAAGCATCAATTCTTAGGTACTAAGCCTTCTTTATGGTCCAACTCTCTCATCTGTAAATGACTACTGGAAAAATCATAACTTTGACTATATGAACTTTTGTTGGCAGAGTGATGTCTCTGCTTTTTATACACTGTCTAGGTTTGTCATAGCTTTTCTTCCAAGGAGCAAGCGTCTTTTAATTTTGTGGATGTAGTCACCATATGCAGTGAATTTGGAGCCCAAGAAAATAAAGTCTGTCACTGTTTCCATTGTTTCCCCATCTATTTGCCATGAAGTGGTGGGACTGGGTGCCATGATCCTAGTTTTTTTTTTTTTTTAATGTTGAGTTTTAAGCCAGCTTTTTCACTCTTCTCTTTCACTTTCATCAAGAGGCTCTTTAGTTCCTCTTCACTTTCTGCCATTAGAGTGGTATCATCTGTTTATCTGAGGTTATTGATATTTCTCCCGGCAGTCTTTGTTCCAGCTTGTGAGTCATCTAGCCTGGCGTTTCACATGATACACTTTGCGTAGAAGTTAAATAAGCAAGGTGACAAAGACAGCTTTGACATACTCCTTTCCCAATTTAGAACCAGTTTATTGTTCCATGTCCATTTTCAGCTGTTGCTTTTTGACCTGCATACAGGTTTTGCAGGAGGCAAGTAAGTGGTCTGGTATTCCCATCTCTTGAAGAATTTTTTAGTTTGTTGTGATCCACGTAGCCAAAGACGTCAGTTTAGTCTATGAAGCAGAAGTAGATGTTTTTTTTCTGGAATCCCCTTGCTTTTCTATGACCCAGCAGATGTTGGCAATTTGACCTCTGGTTCCTCTGACTTTTTAAAATCCAGCATGTACATCTGGAAGTTCTTGGTTTTTGTACTGCTGGAGACTAACTTTAAGGATTTTGAGCATTACTTTGCAAGCATGTGAAATGAATGCAATTGTATGGTAGTTTGAGCATTCTTTGGAATTGCCTTGCTTTGGGGTTAGATTGAAAACTGACCTGTTCCAGTCCTCTGGCCACTGCTGAGTTTTGCAAATTTACTGACATATTGAGTGCAGCACTCTAACAGCATCATCTTTTAGGATTTGAAATAGCTCAGCTGGAATTCCATCACCTTCACTAACTTTGTTTGTAGTAATGTTTCCTAAGGCCCACTTGACTTCACTTAAGGCCATGACTTAAGTGACCATTTTTTTTCAGTCTATTCCTCTGTCTTCACTAGCTACTTAATTTGGCTCAAATCAAACACAAATGTTCTTAAGAATCATGCCCCTTGAATTTTTAGAGCATACATGGGTAATACAAGCCAAAATACTACTGCCATTTTTCTCCAGCTATATGTGTTTAATAGAAAACATAGATGAATAGGCAAGATGTTCACTCAGAATTTTAGTTATTATGTTCCAGACACAGTGATAAGCATTTAAAATGTGCCATTGTGCAGTTATCCTCAAAGTAGTCCAGTAGGATAGACATTACCCATTGATTAGAGGACCAATACGCTTAGAATGGTTGAATAATATTCCTAATGTTATCCGTTGAGTATGTTTGGAGTTTGGAGTCCATAAGCTTTTATGCATTTCCTCTTAGGTGTATATAAGTGTAGGGATGTGAACAAGACATGGTTCTTGATTTAAAGATGTTTACACTCTTAGTGGGAAAGAATAAAGAAGCTATATACATGCAACTAAAACAAAGGTAGAATGTATAAATGCTACAATAATACAACCTGTTATTAACTTCTGATGATTCTATAAGTAACTTTATAACTTAAGCTTTCAAATTAATTCAAATAAAGTCAATTAAAATTCTAGCTGTGAAAAGATACAAAAAGTAGGCTTTACCAACTTTGACCATTCAAGCACTGTCCCGTCCAAAAGTGATTGCTTTGTGATTTAGGACTCAGTTCAGTTGACAGGACTATTTTCCTGCTATTGAGATGAATGCATCAGCCTTTTTCCCTCTGTTCTCTTAAACCAGTCAAATTGAATAATTAAATCCTTATTTGAGTCTACTTTTACCAAGAATGGTTTTAATTATGAAATTTTTTTTACCAATTAACTTGCCTATAAGGGAAAGATAGCCTGACCCAAAGACTCGCTCCTTAGTCATGTAAGCAGTTAATGACTTGAGGTTTAGATTTAATAAACTGTTAAATCTTATGAATATGTTAGTCTGGGTATCCACCAAGGCTGACAATTCAAACTGCTGCTCCTTCACGACAATGCTAGTGTCTAACGTAATGACAAGGAGAATTATTGGCGAGGCATTCATTCTTCCATGTGTCAGTCTTCTATAGATTTTCATACATCATGCCTCTTTCTATGAGTGCTTTTCAATAAAGTGTCATTGAGGCAAACAAGTAGAAGTACTATTTTATTTTAATTGGTCTAAAACAACAAACACAGATTCATAGACATGGCATTTGATAATGCCTCTTGAACTCTGGCTGAGATTTCAATGTAAAATGAAGGCCAGTCAGACAAAGAATACCAGTGGTAGTCTTATTTCCCATTATTAACATTAAAAGTACATAGCCAAATGTATTTAGAATGGAAGGAAGTGGGGGTGCAGAAGGAAGGTGATGTCTCCACTTAACAGGTAGAAGCAAATGGAGACTCAGTGGTTTGACTCCAACTAAGAAATTGAGTGTTTCTGGGAAGTGAGTTGTCAGAAATTGACAACTTTCCCAAGTTGTAATTATGTGAGAGGGAGGGCAAAGGACTGGAGAAAAAGAAAGGCAGAGAGAGGTTATTGTCTTCTCTGCCAGCCTCACCTAGGATATAGCCAATTTTAATCACAAAGGCAAACCTGAAGCTCACCCTTCTCTGGATTTGAAAAGCAATAGATGCTGTTGGATACAGATAGACTCGTTCAGAGTTGTGGTATTTGGAAAACGTATTAGCTCTTATATAAAAAGATATTCATCTTTAAACTTTTTCCCTTTGTAATGCAATGTACCAGAATATAAGCCTTAATTATGAGTATTCGCTGTCAAGTCTTAGACTACTTAATTTCTAAATCTCACTGATTGTTATAAGTATCTTGTTTTTAATTTTTTTGTTAATGGCACCATAATCATCTTGACTAAAATAAAAATGAGAATTTTTCCATAGTCAAGTTTGAGAATTAATTCCAAAGCTGGATAATACATTGTTCATGAAATTTAAGATGAAAATAATAGAGAATTTATTTTATAAGCTATATTATAGATATTAAATCATATTGATATGAATGTTTTTCAAATTAAATATTAGTAATTTTTAAATTATATTAATATATAATGGATAAAGTATTTATTTTAAATTTATTTTATTTTGAATTTAATTTAAAAGTTCATAAGTATTTTTTGAATATGTTTTTTAAGCTAAAACAAATTACTTCCTCTTTTCCTCCCAGATGCAGGATCAGGATCTGGAGATGGAGGTAGGAGTTGCCTTTTTATATATTGAAAGATTTACATGTGGATGTTACTTGTGGATATTTACTTATGTATTTGTCATTACATATATCTAAGATGAATTCACATTTTGCATTTTAGGAAAGGGAAAACTAAAAACAAAATCATTCTTCTTATTGAGTAAATGTGTATACCATGTAAATTATTTGATATATTTATGAATCATACTTAAGAACTTTTTCTAATATTCCTATTCATTTATACATTTGCATTTAATTAACTTTGAGATAAACCTGCGTAACTGAACTTCATAATAAGCCTCCAAGCATATTTGTCAGGACAGAATACTCATAGAAAATCATTTAAATATTGTTTTTTTAAAATACATAATGACAAGGTATTGATACTAATACATACATAGCTATTATGTAAACAGGAACATAATTACCAAATTAATAGTTTGAAACTGAAGGAGCTTTAGTTCATTAAAGAAAAATAAAAAGATAAAGAAACTTTAAGCCAGTGAAAATAAGATAATGTCTTTACTTCTTTGATTAATCTATAGTTATTTTTACTAACACAAGATATGATTTCATGATTTAGTTGTGTGTTTAAAGAAGTATATAAGAGATAGGCAGAAACTTTCAAAATTTTATATGATATACTTACTGCCAAATAATATTTTACTTATGGATTGAACCTTCACTGTAAATTTCCCAAAATACTTTTCCAGTTGAAATTCAAACAAAATTCTATCTTTATTTACAACAAGAAAAAATAGAAACAACTAAATATAATTTCAACAAGATGAAAAGAGAATGAAGAAAAACATAAACATTTTCTCAGAACCTTGCTTAAGTTATATAAAATGATTAAATGCATGTTTCTATTAAACTTTATTTTTTAGTGAAGAATTTGATAAAAGATGAGGAAAGAAGGTGTTGGAGTCAGGAAAGTCAAATTTTACTGCTTACCTTATCTGGTTTGGGCAACAAGTTAGAGATTTATCAAAGGTGTAACTAGTTCAAATAAGCAACACCCAGAGAATAAAATTAGAGCAGCATATTGGAGCACAGTTTTTTTTCATAAAGACTGAAATTGAATAGGAGTCATGATTCAGTACCATGAGAGTATGAATTTATTTCCATATCACATGACATTAGACAGTCATTTGGTATTAAGATAATCTTACTGTTTCTAAGAAATTATTTTTTCCTCTGGCTGATTAATACAATATTCCTAAGAAAGCTTCCCTGCAAGTTTTGGAAAGATGAGCTTCTAAGATCAAGCAAACTTTAAAGAGAAAAAGGAAAAAAGTTTTTTGAGTAGATAGTTCACTATCAGACTATTAAGAAATCCATCAGTTTGTTAAAATGTCAATTTTGGAAGGGAGCAGTTCTATGAAAAATTCTGCATTATTTACTGGCTACTTAGTTTTATGTGTAGACTACTTAATTTGAAAGATATTATATTGTTTCAGCTGTTCCACTCTTCACATGTCTTATTAATTTTTTGGCATCTTTAAAAGCAAAACACAGAATTATTTTCATTGCTCCTTTTGTTAAAGCATCGTGGTATACTTTTTTCTAATTGAGTCTTTTCCTCATATCATACATCATTTCATCATTGTTTTCAATAATAAGGTGTAGTGGGTGTATCAGATACTAGTTGCCAGTTTTTCCTTCATTGTATTTAGCACATGCAATTGACAGTAAAGTCAACCTCACTTTTCCTTGTTGAATTCTAGGCTGAAATATTAAGTTCATTATTTTTTCCTGTGATCTGTATAAGGCGATTTTTTTAAGGAAATCACTTTAATTTCATGAATAAGACATTTATAACTTAAATTTCATATATTAGTTGCACACTATATTCCTTTGTTTTTTCTCCTTTTATGAAATTTCTCGAAAAAAGAAAAAGAGACTCAGATGTATAGAACAGACTTGTGGACTCTATGGGAGAATGCGGGGGTGGGATGTTTCAAAAGAACAGCATCGAAACATGTATATCTAGGGTGAAACAGATCACCAGCCCAGGTTGGATGCATGAGACAAGTGCTCAGGCCTGGTGCACTGGGAAGACCCAGAGGGATCGGGTGGAGAGGGAGGTGGGAGGGGGGACCGGGATGGGGAATACATGTAAATCCATGGCTAATTCAATGTATGACAAAAACCACTGCAATGCTGTAAAGTAATTAGCCTCCAACTAATAAAAAATAAATAAATAAAATAAAATAAATAGAATAACAATTAAAAAAAAGAAATTTCTCTTCAATTATATGTGCTTTATATTAACTTGGAGGAAAAATAAACAAAACAACTTCTTAAGACATAATTGCTTTGAAAAGAAAATAAAAGCATATAACCCATTTAATTCTGAGCTGTATTCTTTATAAAGAGTTGCTTTTCTGAAAGTTGTGGTAAATGAGTATTTACTCCTAGCTGTTTGTTTTGTTTTTAGTCAGAGACTCAGTAGTTTTTGTTTTGTTTTGTTTTTACTTGAATTTATTTTTTCTAGTCTATGTGTTCTTTGCTCTGAAATACTAAAGGTTTTAATTTTCCATATTTTTTTAACTTTAGTACAAAATTATAGAAAACTTAATAACTAGAACCTAAAAGCATAGTTCAGAGTGACCTGCACGATTCTAGTTCACATATTGATTGGATTATATGGAAAGTATATTTGACTTGCTACCTCTGCTATGTAAAGGATGGACTTGCTCTGTATTCTGACCGAGTTCCTATTACCAAGATATCTAGAAAAGCCAGAATCAATTCCCTTTGAATTAACCAGAAGTGATTGAATTACCTATGATTAGTTAATCCAACAGTCCTAGTTAGTGATTGTCCTAACCAGTCTCTATAGGATATATTCTCAATAACATGGATTTGGTTAATAATCAGGGTATCTTTGCAAGCACTTTGGATAGTTAATGGTTATTTTTCTAATTTCTTTTAACAAAAGTTAATATACTTCCCAAATGTAGTGCATTGATCTGAATAGTGAAGTGAACAATTTTATTTGGAAAACACATATGTGTGACTATCATAAATTATATGGTTAAATCAAATCCAAATCCAAAACACTTTATAAATACATAAGGTTTTACTTTTTTAGATTGTCCTGCATTCTTAAACAAATAAATACTAGCATTGAATGTTAGACCTGACTTTTTTAAAAATTAAGTTTTAACTTATTTGCACAAGGATGTATCTATCATTTATTGCACTTGAGGAAACATTTTTACAGTATAAAAGGGATCTAAATGTTTCATAAAATTTATGCTAACTTGTTTTTGTATGTTTTATAGAAGGTTTAACTATCTTTAACTATTGATCTATTTATTTATTAAGGAAATATTAATATAAAGAATAATCTTGTGTTATTAGTTTTGAGTGAAACACCAGCTCTTTATGGAATTCTCTGTTTTCAAGCAAAAATGTTTAGTTGAAAAGGCTAAACAAATATATTTATATTATATTCACCAAATAACCATTTGGATAGACTCATACTTGAAAAAACAATTCAGGTTAAACTATAATTGGCTATATATGTGTCTGATAGAAAGGTAATATGTAGTAAAGTGTGGACAAAATTCCAAAGAATTTCAGAAAGTAGTAAAAAGAAAGGGGTTGGTGTTTCAAGTACTTATATATATGAAGATAATGTTGTAAATAAGAAAACGGGTGTGTGTAGGAGGGATAATAACATCTTCTCCACCCACGGACTTCCTTAAGCAACAAACACTGCACTGTGAAAGAAGTATTAAAGGAGCCTCTTCTCAAAATCTAGGGCTGTGTGGGTGGTTAAGGGATAATTTCTAACACCTGCTCTTATTTCAGAGTCTTTCAGTCATATTATAAGATAAGACCATGAATACTTTCCATTAAACTTAACATATATTTCTGGATTAACTAGACTTCTGACAGATTCCTAAAAACAAAAACCAGTCCTGAAAAAAAAAGTATATTTTAACAATTAAAAGAATGATAAACATATTATCCTGCTAGAAGTCTGGAAGAATTCATGATTAAATTTTAATAACATCTTATGGGCAGTTGTATGATAATGTCTATAGAAACAAAATGTCTCTAAGATATACAACATGGATGCAATGGGTGTATTTTTAATTCATGAGATAAAATGAAGCTCTGGGGCTTCATACAACTTATATAATTATATAGCTTTAAGAGATTTCTTTAATAATTTAATCAAGAGATTAATGTCAGATATGTACAGCAACATATCAAATTAAATTTATATCTTAGTTGTATAAAGTCTGATTTTTATTTTAATAATCCAGATAATGGCTATTATGATGACTTTAATGCACAAAATAAGTTATGCTGTGTTTTATTTAATGCAAAATTGTCCTATACATATTATCTTTGTATAATTTTACTTGGATATACATAATTAAGACGTTTATTTTGTATATACTTTGGCTAGAAAAAGAAATATTTACATCACAACTAAATGTAGACCCTAGGCTGTTTCTGATCATGTAGATTGCTAAAAACCAGAAAACAGTGTTGTAACAAGTTTGAGAACTGAAAAATTATTTTTAAGCAATTCTTAAATTTCTAATGTGGATTTGATGATATTCAGGAATTACGCTGAATTGAACAAGCCTCCTATCAGCTGGAGACCCTGACAAGGTTTCTGGAGCTCTAAAGCTGAATATGACACAGTTCTTTATACTCAAGGAGATTTACATGTAAATTCTTTTCTTAGCACGCAATGTGAAAATTATGATTCTAATTATCAAAAGAGAAATAATCCCCTGTAGAAATAAAATGTTAAGTATACTATAAATAACAAGGAACTGAATGTTCATTCCATAAAATATTCTTATATCAGGTTAAGTAATTTTTCTTCCACTTTGCAATATCAGTTCCCTTTCTTGATCTCAATCTGTACCTCTCCACCTTACTGTCATAGTCAAGTTCTGGCAGACACAGTGTGCCTCACCGTGTGTTCTCTCTCCTGGGTACACATTACAGCCAAAGTCTGACAGGCATCAGTTGTCAGCAACCTCATCTGAAATACTGATTAGCTGAAAAATTCTACCATGTACGCAAAGTTTGAGATTTTTCCATGGCAATACATACAAGGAGGAAGCAGAAACTGCTCTTGCTTTCGCTGTTCTACACCTTACAGCTGCTGTTCTGACTGGAGATGAGTTTATAGACATCTGAACCATAGATGAAATATATCTCAGGTTTTCATGGAGTACAATCCATTTTGCTTCCTTTGTAGCTCAAAGAAAACCAATATTGTGATGGAGTGATGAAAGAGAGGTAGGATGAATGAAGATAATGGATAACGAAAATGGAAAAATAAAACAAGCAAACAAAAGGAGGAAAACAAAGTGAGAATGGAAAATGAAAAGGGAGAACAAGTCTTTGTTACCAACATATCTTCACACATGACTACCATCTTAAAAATAACTTTTTTCGAGTAGAATGATAATAATTGACTGAATTTCCAGAGAAGATTGCTTGGGGATGTGAAATGGATACCACAAACATTTTCTTTTTCTGAATCACTTATACAGATTTCTAAAAACCGTATCTAGGAAAGTAAATGTAATCATTATGTGCAGTGTGATAGACATGGCTTTGGGCTAAGAATCAGGAGATTTGTATTCTAAATTTTTAATTGGCTTAAAGGCCTATTTGAGTTTACTTGCAAACTCCTTGGAGATTCATTTATTTTATTGGTAAAGGAGAATAGTATCTACTTATAGGAAAAGATGATTATAATAAACTAATGGAAAGGACTTTGGATTCCAAAAAATGAAATGACAAGAATTTATATTAACTTTGTTCTTTTTTCCCATTTAAAAATATAATTTCTCTGAAGGGTTTAATTGAAATTTAGATCTTTTAATTAGTAAGTTTTAAGTTCACGGTCTAAAGTATTAATGCTGAGATAATAACAACTCTACAAATCCAATCACAGTTTTCAGTATTTAGAGGAGATAGCTAGCTTTGCACTTTTTGAAAGGGAGTGAAATCATAGATTTGATATTGGAGAAATTGCAGTTCTATATGACAGGTAAGAAATAGGGAACAGTTTTTTAAAAATTCAAAACAGTTCAGTTCAGTTGCTCAGTCATGTCCGACTCTTTGTGACCCCATGGACTGCAGCACTCCAGGCTTCCCTGTCCATCACCAACTCCCTGAGCTTACTCAAACTCATGTCCATTGAGTCGGTGATGCCATCCAACCATCTCATCCTCGGTCATCCACTTCTCCTCCTTCCTTCAACCTTTCCCAGCTTCAGGGTCTTTTCCAATGAGTCAAATCTTCACATCAGGTGGCCAAAGTATTGGAGCTTCAGCTTTAGCATCAGTTCTTCCAATGAATATTCAGGACTGATTTCCTTTAGAATGGACTGGTTGGATCTCCTTGCAGTCCAAAGGACTCTCAAGAGTCTTCTCCAACACCACGGTTCAAAAGCATTCATTCTTCAGCACTCAGCTTTCTTTATAGTCCAACTCTCACGTCCATACATGACTACTGGAAAAAACATAGCATTGACTAGACGGACCTTTGTCAGCAAAGTAATGTCTCTGCTTTTTAATATGCTGGCTAGCTTGGTCATAGCTTTTCTTCCAAGGAGCAAGTGTCCTGTAATTTAATGGCTGCAATCACCATCTGCAGTGATTTTGGAGCCCAAGAAAATAAAGTCCCTCACTGTTTTCATTCTTTCCCCATCTATTTGCCATGAAGTGATGGGATCAGATGCCATGATCTCTGTTTTATGAAAGTTGAGTTTTAAGCCAGCTTTTTCACTCTCCTCTTTCACTTTTATCAAGAGACTCTTTAGTTCCTCTTCGTTTTCTGCCGTAAGGGTGGTATCATCTTCATATCTAAGGTTATTGATATTTTTCCTGGCAGACCTGATTCCAGCTTGTGCTTCATCCAGCCTGGCATTTCACATGTTGTACTCTACATAGAAGCTAAATAAGCAGGGTGACAATATACAGCTTTGACATACTCCTTTCCAATTTTAAACGTTTGTTGTTCCATGTCCAGTTCTAATTATTGCTTCTTGAACTGCATAAGATTTCTCAGGAGGTAGGTAAGGTGCTCTGGTATTCCCATCTCTTTAAGAATTTTCCACAGTTAAATGTGATCTACACAAAGACTGTAGCATAGTCAATAAAGCAGAAGTAGATGTTTTTCTGGATCTCTCTTGCCTTTTCTGTGATCCAATGGATGATCAAAACAGTAAATAATTCTTAAGATTACAATGGCAGTCAGTTGCCTCTCTGTAGAAATCAAAAAAAAAAAAAAAGGGAGAAGAAATGGGAGGGATTCACAATATGATGGATTTGGTATACTCACAAGGAAGAATTTTCATTAGGATGCTAAGCATTGAAAAGTTTTTCTAAGGGGATTTTAACTTTTCGAAAGAGGTTCTTTTAAAGTAGGTGGAAATACTTTATTATAGTTCTACTGGATGCCAAAGCATGAATTAGATCAATCCATAAGGATACCTAACTCAGGTATAATTGTTTGTAAAATGCCCTGTGGTATATAAAAAGCACTAATTCATTTAATCACAATAGCAACCTTTGGATATGTGGAAGATAATCAGAAAAAAAAAAAAAAGCATTTTACCCGTAATGCCAGCAACAGTATATTATGTTAACTAAGCCAGTCCTTGAATTTCAAGAAGGAAGGAAACTATAGTCTACAACATACCCTACCTCTTGCAGTAGCTGTTTGCAACAACTATATCCAACAGACCCCATATTCTGTTTATATAAATCATAAATCTTATCAACAATCATATGAAATTTTATTATCTCTTCTCCTTACCCCCTTCTTACTCTCATTTTTATTTCTGAAACCATCTATTCTATTCAAAGTGTTAAGTTAGTCACTCAGTTGTGTCCGACTTTTTGCAACTCCAAGAACTCCAGGTTCCTCTGTTCGTGGAATTCTTCAGGCAAGAATACTGAAGTGGGCAGCCAATCCTTTCTCCAGGGGATCTTCTAGACCCAGGGATTGAACCCATTTTTCCTGCATTGCTGGCAGATTCTTTACCATCTGAGCCACCAGGGAAACCCATTCTATTCAAGGTAGTACTCAAACCCCTATGGGTTTTTGTGGTGGTCTGTCATCAAGTTAATCATACTCATCAATCTATAATGGTTTGCCATCTATTCTTCTCTATTAATTTTCCCTTCATTACCCATCTCTGGTCCTATTCCCATTTGAAGTATTCACTCAAAGGTATTTTGTATCCTTTAACTTGGTGGAGAGGGGGGCAGAATATGATTGCGTAAGTGATTGTAGGAAGTGGTAGTTAAGACTCAGTCTCTGGAAGTGGACACTGTGGGTTTGGTCCCCATTCCATGACTTACTAGCTATCTGACCACAGACAGGTTACTTACACAATCTATTTTAGTTTCTTCATCCATGATCCTTGCAGTGTTTCCCAAGAAATAGAATCTGAGGTTAGATTTGTACATTTGAGTTTCTCTAGTAGGGCTTTCAGGATCAGCATCGGTAGGAGAGAAGGATGTAGGACTGGGCAGATGGAGTAGGACTGGTGCAGTTTTATTTATTTATTTTTTTCATTTATTTTTATTAGTTGGAGGCTAATTACTATACAATATTGTAGTGGGTTTTGTCATACATTGACATGAATCAGCCATGGATTTACATGTGTTCCCCATCCCCATCCCCCCTCCCACCTCCCTTTCCGCCCGATCCCTCTGGGTCTTCCCAGTGCACCAGGTCCGAGCACTTGTCTCATGCATCCAACCTGGGCTGGTGATCTGTTTCACCCTAGATAATATACATGTTTTGATGCTGTTCTCTTGAAACATCCCACCCTCGCCTTCTCCCACAGAGTCCAAAAGTCTGTTCTATACATCTGTGTCTCTTTTTCTGTTTTGCATATAGGGTTATCGTTACCATCTTTCTAAATTCCATATATATGTGTTAGTATACTGTAATGGTCTTTATCTTTC